CTCAAATTTGGAGTTAAGTTTAAAACTAACTTTTAAAATTATTTTCATCATCAGTAAGTGAAATCCTTTTGTCTTAGAGATTTCAATCTTCTATAGTCTAGTCTATAGTCTAGTCTATAGTCTAGTCTAGTCTAGTCTATAGTCTAGTCTATAGTCTAGTCTATAGTCTAGTCTATAGTCTAGTCTATAGTCTAGTCTATAGTCTAGTCTATAGTCTAGTCTATAGTCTAGTCTATAGTCTAGTCTATAGTCTAGTCTATAGTCTAGTCTATAGTCTAGTCTATAGTCTAGTCTATAGTCTAGTCTATAGTCTAGTCTATAGTCTAGTCTATAGTCTAGTCTATAGTCTAGTCTATAGTCTAGTCTAGTCTAGTCTATAGTCTAGTCTATAGTCTAGTCTATAGTCTAGTCTATAGTCTAGTCTATAGTCTAGTCTATAGTCTAGTCTATAGTCTAGTCTATAGTCTAGTCTATAGTCTAGTCTATAGTCTAGTCTATAGTCTAGTCTATAGTCTAGTCTATAGTCTAGTCTATAGTCTAGTCTATAGTCTAGTCTATAGTCTAGTCTATAGTCTAGTCTATAGTCTAGTCTATAGTCTAGTCTATAGTCTAGTCTATAGTCTAGTCTATAGTCTAGTCTATAGTCTAGTCTATAGTCTAGTCTATAGTCTAGTCTATAGTCTAGTCTATAGTCTAGTCTATAGTCTAGTCTATAGTCTAGTCTATAGTCTAGTCTATAGTCTAGTCTATAGTCTAGTCTATAGTCTAGTCTATAGTCTAGTCTATAGTCTAGTCTATAGTCTAGTCTATAGTCTATCTATAGTCTAGTCTATAGTCTAGTCTAGTCTATAGTCTAGTCTATAGTCTAGTCTATAGTCTAGTCTATAGTCTAGTCTATAGTCTAGTCTATAGTCTAGTCTATAGTCTAGTCTATAGTCTAGTCTATAGTCTAGTCTATAGTCTAGTCTATAGTCTAGTCTATAGTCTAGTCTATAGTCTAGTCTATAGTCTAGTCTATAGTCTAGTCTATAGTCTAGTCTATAGTCTAGTCTATAGTCTAGTCTATAGTCTAGTCTATAGTCTAGTCTATAGTCTAGTCTATAGTCTAGTCTATAGTCTAGTCTATAGTCTAGTCTATAGTCTAGTCTATAGTCTAGTCTATAGTCTAGTCTATAGTCTAGTCTATAGTCTAGTCTATAGTCTATCTATAGTCTATCTATAGTCTAGTCTATAGTCTAGTCTATAGTCTAGTCTATAGTCTACTAGTCTATAGTCTAGTCTATAGTCTAGTCTATAGTCTAGTCTATAGTCTAGTCTATAGTCTAGTCTATAGTCTAGTCTATAGTCTAGTCTATAGTCTAGTCTATAGTCTAGTCTATAGTCTAGTCTATAGTCTAGTCTATAGTCTAGTCTATAGTCTAGTCTATAGTCTAGTCTATAGTCTAGTCTATAGTCTAGTCTATAGTCTAGTCTATAGTCTAGTCTATAGTCTAGTCTATAGTCTAGTCTATAGTCTAGTCTATAGTCTAGTCTATAGTCTAGTCTATAGTCTAGTCTATAGTCTAGTCTATAGTCTAGTCTATAGTCTAGTCTATAGTCTAGTCTGTAGTCTAGTCTATAGTCTAGTCTATAGTCTAATCTATAGTCTAATCTATAGTCTAGTCTATAGTCTAATCTATAGTCTAGTCTATAGTCTAGTCTATAGTCTACTCTGCAATCTAGTCTACAGTCTAGTCTATAGTCTAGTATATAGTCTACTTTATAGTCTAGTCTATACTCTAGTCTATACTCTAGTCTATAGTCTAGTCTATAGTCTAGTTTATAGTCTAGTCTATACTCTAGTCTATAGTTAAGTCTATAGTCTACTATATAGTCAAGTCTATAGTCTAGTCGATAGTCTAGTCTATAGGCTAGTATATAGTCTTGTCTATAGGCTAGTTTATAGTCTAGTCTATAGTCTAGTCTATAGCCTGGTCTATAGTCTAGTTATAGTCTAGTCTAATCTATAGTCTAGTATATAGTCCAGTCTATTGTCTAGTATATAGTCTGGTCTATAGTCTACTCTATAGTCTAGTCTATAGTCTAATCTATAGTCTGATAATGGTGAAGGTATTCAAGTTTTGGTGCAGACGAACATTAGTGCATTGTGCATTAGTGCACAAGAGCATTGTCTTTAATTTGCTTAAGTGTTGTCCATTAAAAACTTAACATTTCCCTAATTACTTCCTCACTAAAAGAAATAATTTGAAATGACTTTTTAATCACTTATTTTATAAACAGTTCATTTAAATTAATTTTTCACATATTAAACATAAATTTTAAAATAAACACCCTTAACCTTGAAAATAAATTTTTTAAACAAACATAAACTGTAATAAAATAAAATTAGTTGGCAGCTAATTTTTTTAGGCATAAATTTAAATATTTAAAATATAAAAAAGAACACAAACTTACTTAAAAAATGTAAAAATTTCAAATGAATGAAAAGCAAAATAAAAAATTAATCTTTAAAGAAATTTTTAAAAAAAAGTATGGAAATTTTGTTCTTTGAAAAAAATTTTAATTAAACTAAAGATTAGCTAAAAATTCGTTAACCATAATAAATTAAAAAAAATTTCATAATTTTTTGTTTTTCATATTTTTGTTAAAGAAAATCTTTCGGCAAATGTCTAGGTTTTCACACGCTTAAATTAATAATAATTTTGCTGTTAAATTTGTTACTTTTTGACTTAAATGCCCGAAGGCTATTTTTTATTGTTTATATTTTTTTTTTAAAGATCATGACTAAGAATGATTTCATAAGTCTTTTCGCCGCTTAGTAATTTGTACGAGTGTTATTGGCCAAGACATTTTTAGGCCCAGAAACTATTTAGTTGTACTAGAAAATTGTTGTTTTTGCTTTGACATAGACATATTTTGATTAATGCTTTCAAATGTGTTGGAGAAAAATCATTTTTCATGATTTTTATTTAACACGCAAATATTTTAAATTGTTTACGAATTTGTTAGTTTTTTTTTGTGGGGTATGACAGACAGACAGTTATTTATATATCTATAAAAGTCAAATATGTCTAGAAAAAGGAATACTTAAACAAATTTTACAGTTTATTATAAAATTTGGTTAAAATAGTTTTTTAAAAGAATTAGGACATAACTCCAACTAGTAGATAGATAGATAGATAGATAGATAGATAGATAGATAGATAGATAGATAGATAGATAGATAGATAGATAGATAGATAGATAGATAGATAGATAGATAGATAGATAGATAGATAGATAGATAGATAGATAGATAGATAGATAGATAGATAGATAGATAGATAGATAGATAGATAGATAGATAGATAGATAGATAGATAGATAGAATAGGTAGATAGGTAGATAGATAGATAGGTAGATAGATAGATAGATAGATAGATATATATATAGATAGATAGATAGATAGATAGATAGATAGATAGATAGATAGATAGATAGATAGATAGATAGATAGATAGATAGATAGATAGATAGATAGATAGATAGATAGATAGATAGATAGATAGATAGATAGATAGATAGATAGATAGATAGATAGATAGATAGATAGATAGATAGATAGATAGATAGATAGATAGATAGATAGATAGATCGATAGATCGATAGATCGATAGATAGATAGATAGATAGATAGATAGATAGATAGATAGATAGATAGATAGATAGATAGATAGATAGATAGATAGATAGATAGATAGATAGATAGATAGATAGATAGATAGGTAGGTAGATAGGTAGATAGATAGATAGATAGATAGATAGATAGATAGATAGATAGATAGATAGATAGATAGATAGATAGATAGATAGATAGGCAGGCCGACAAATGTTTAACCTAATGACCAAAGTATCCTTTGGAGCCGCGCTGAATCTGAATCTGAATTCCTCCATCACATCTGGAATGGAAAGGAGAAGATATGTCAAATATTAGGCCTTTATTTTAAAGTTGACAGAATAGACTTTCAGATGGCTTACAACATTTTATAAAAACAGGTAGATGTCATAAAAATTGTGTTTTTAAATTTTCAGGACACGATATCTCAAATCCCAGATGTGATGGAGGAAATCATAGTCGGATTCACCACGTCTCAAGCCTTCACAAACTTCTTACTTGAACTCGACCTTTTCAAATTTTGTCGATTTTAAATAAATAATAGAATTTTTTGAACGATTACAACTCTATCTCTTATTAGAAAGTTCTTTTTCTTTTGGTTATTTCGGGAAGAAAAAAACGAATTGAAACTTAAACTTTTATATCTAATCCTTCTCTACCTTTTAGGCTCTTTTTTATTGTAACCTCATTTAAAACATTTCCATTTTCCCACAGTATATTTAAAAACATTAACGAAAAACGTACATATTTTCCTTAAACCAATCGATTATTGTTAACAAATCTGATTAGGTTTTTTTTTTGCAAACACAGAAAAAGTCCAAAAATAAGAAAGAAATGAGAAAAAACCTCATACGAACAACTTAATTTGGACAAAAAGCATACTGACGGAACTTGTTGTTAACTTGTACTAGATGGTTTAGACTGTTTGTCTGGTTCAGTTTTTTTTTTGGCTTAAAGTCTTTAACTAAACTCTAACTGTTTAAATAATGTCTGTGCAATAAGATGTCATACTTTATAAGGTAGTTTTTGTTAAATTTTAGCAATTTAAATTTTAAATACAGATACAAATGGTAAATAGGAAAAGAGAATACATTTGTTGAGAAATAACATATACTCTAAAGCAGTGGTCGACAGCCTTAGCCAAATGCTATCGGCTATTTGCATAAGAGAATAACTCATTGCAACAAGTAAAGCTATATCTATTAAAAGGTGTTTTGCTCTCTTTGTGCCGACCCCTGCTCTATATACATAGTTGTATTCGTCTATACAGTTGCCATACTATTTTCATATTATTTTCCAAAAATATTCTTAATTTTAATTTGTTTATTTCTTTTTGCAATTACAG